TTACTGATCAACCCATGCACAGAAATCAATTTATGTAGCCTATATATGTAACTTTGAGGACTATTCTCTTTATACATTTTTTTCTTAATATGTAATTTGTATGAATAGTTAATCATTATTTAAATTATATGACCATATGAACTTTCATTTTGCCATTTCTTTCCCCTTAAATTAACTTTTTATATTTTGCACAAATCTTTTGTATTTTCTAGAATTATTATTTATAATTTAAGGAATGAAGGATTTCTTTTTTACAGTGATGTTCACCCTGTACAAAGGGTCACTCAAGATAGAGGGTTACAGAGTAAGTGACACAGCTTATGCAAATATGTGGGGAAGATAACAGTTAACCTTAGACTTGAGCAGGTTAAGATTATAGTGATCAGGGAAGCATCCTCTTGGGAGTCGGTTCCACAAGGCAGTGGTTCATGGGAAGAAACTGCTCAAGTGGAACTTACAACTTGCCAAAGGAATACAAAGGGAATGAGGGTTGTTTGCTACAATGTGCATAGCATGGTGGGTTTTAGCTGAGAAGTTTGGGACTAGTGGAATTAAGAAGTGTAGTTCACAGGGAGGCATGGTGGAGTAATGGATAGCAGTTCGGACTCGGGAATCAGTGAGCTGAGTTCAAATTCTAGTTGAATCCATTACATTCACTTACATGCTAATACCCTTGGGAAAGGTATGAATCCTCTTCTCCATCCAGCTATGGGTAAATAGCAGGCCAGACCAGGTTCTATAGCCTTGGATAGCAACTGGTCTACCACAGAAAGAAATGGCAATCTACTACGGAAAAAAATCTGCCTTGTTAGTCATGTATCAAAAGATGCATGATCACCTACGCATGTATCACATATGGCACATAACTGACTGACTGAGTTCACTTGAACACTTTCCATGGAAATAGCGATAGAGTAGTGAGAGGCTTGTGACACTTCTGTGATAAAAGGGTTGCAGGGTGGAAAATAATTTGTCACCCACTTTTGGACTATGTCAAGACTGGAAAGTCAGGACTGAACAGCTTCTGCTTATATATGGCAACAGTACTCCATTTTTGGCCTGATTTGGCTCTTGTAAATGTAGTGGATAACAAGAGGTGCTAGGTACTTGCTGAAGTGGTACAAGGAACTGACCATTTTTCCAGCATCTTTGGTAATGGATTGTATGAACAAGTTCTACTTGAGGTCTGGGCTGAGTTTAAATCCCAGTAGATGTTCAAGGCATGAGGAGAGAACTACCTAAAGGAACATCCATTCATCACGATTGGTGTAAGTTCTAGGTCCAATCAGCAATGATTGAATGTCATTAACCATACTTTTAAAAATGTTAAACTCTGAGTTTAGCTGTCCATAACATTTGTATTCATCAAAACCACAGATAACCATGAATAACACTGATACAGAGAAGCAACAATGAACTGTATTGAGTTTACAATGTAATACTGAGCAGATACAGTAATGCTATTTACTGCATCGTAAGAGTGGTTCTGAATCAGTGCAATGATAAACATTTGAGAGATGATGACAAGAAGTAAAGTTCCTTTCATGACCCTACATGACATCTGCTACTACTTCTGTCACTAATAAATACATAGACAGGAGTTCAAATAGACAAGAATACAGTGCAAGAATCAAGATCTTTTATTTTACTATAAATTACTGTTAAAAAGATTTTCCTGTCCAAAAAGTATTGACCAGGCTACATAGAAATATTAATAATTCTTTATTCTTTAATTCTGTAAATAAGTGCATTAATGTTTCAAGTTCAGCAATAGCTAAACATCTGATTAAAAATCAGCAGTATGCCCAGTTTTATAGACTGGACATCTTCTCAGTACTGAGTAGGGCTAATACCAATTATCACTTGAAAGTTTTGGAATCAGTGTACATTAAGTCCTACCAACCATCTCTCTATTAGCAGAAAGAGTGGTTGGTGGGCTTAAAGCTAATTAGCCTTTAATTATATATATTTTTTGTATAGTATTATTCTGGGCTTGTATAATTTTTTTAGTCACTGTGCCCATTTCAGTATTACCATTTTAGTTTACAGTAATATATATATTTTTGTTAAGCCTTTTTTGTTATGAATTATTTCTATTTTTATTATGATATATTTGTATTTATTGTTCTAATAAAATTCTGTACTTCTAATGTACTTTTAAATTTCATTAAATCTGTTGTTAGTTATCAACAGAGCTTGATTTGTTCTGGGGAATTGATTTTCAGTGGCGACAAAGAAGTTACCACCTGTAATTGAGAAAAAACTTTTATCATTAGTGAAGATTCACTGACTGTTTTTGTTGTTGTTGGAGAAGATTTGTTTGAAGTCACCGATTGCCTGCCCATCCTGTTGTTGTAGCTGACTCATTTGAAGTTGCCATCAAATGTTTCTTTCAGCACATGTTGGGGGAAGGAAAAATGCAGCCATTTCTTCTCTTTGACTTGGAGAAAGCCATGTAGAGATATAAAAATTATATGTAAGACCCTATCTTTTTGTTTCTCTTTTACTCTGCTTGCTGTGTAGATATATATGTATTTTTTTAATCAGAATCACCCCAGGCAAGGCAATAAGGCCACTAAAACACAAGGAGTTACAGGGCATGGAAGAATTAGGAACAGAAATATTAATGGTGATCAGAAAGAGAAGAGAGTTATCAGGTGGACAATAGATAACAATTGACATTGCATTTAAATTTTTGCAGATTAAAGTTGGCTGGAAGGCAAGGAGCCAGAAGGGAGTTCCACAAGTGAGAAGCGCAAGAGAAGAAACTGTTAGCATAGAATTTACAGCTACATCTAACCAGCTCAACTGTAAATTGATGAAATCTTGATGCCAGTCTAGTGCTGTGCTTAAATTCATAAACTCTAGGTACCATAGCAAAGAGCTCATTCGAACAATTACCATGAAATTATTTATAGAAAAACATCAAGAGGCAATTTTACAGCAGTGGGAAAGTGACTGGATCTAAGCTACCAGATCAGGACCAATAATATTGCAGATTCTTCTTTGGATATAATCAAGGATCTCTAGGTAAATAGCAGGGGCACTGAACTATATGTAGCAGCAATATTCCAAGCATGCATGAATGGTAGACTTATAAATATGTAAGATAGATTCTGGAGAGAAAAATTGTCTCATTTGACACAGTGAACTGACTTTTTTAGCAGCTGACCTAGCAATGAATTCAATTTAGTCTTTCCACTTCATGTCAGCTGAGAACATGAACCTGAGAAGGTGCAACGAATCACTTTCTTGGAGATTAGCATCAGCCATGCTGATGGAAGGCAGAAAGGGGTCTCTCAGATGATTAATGAAGAGAAGTTTAGTTTTGGAGGCATTAAAATTAACAAGTCATTTTTTGCCTCAGTTAACTATGGATTTGAGGTCATTTTAGACATCGGCTGCCATTTTCACCTTGTCAGAGTGATAAGCCTTACTATAAAGGCAGGAGTAAATTGTTAAGTCGTCAGCATAGATACCAACTTGAGAGCTGATGTCATCAGGAAGATCATTAATGAAAATTTAAAATAGAGTAGGACCAAAGCCATTCAGGATAGCTCTCATTTCATGATTTAATAGGAAAGAATAGGAGGTCAGTTCAAAAAAGTGTCCAGAGACACTGTAACTTATGTCATATTCTCCCTGCATGGGACATGTGTAAATATGTATATGTAGTTTTGTGTATGTCTTAGTAGTATAAAAGTCTCTCTGAGAACCAAGTATGTTTGTCATTCCTTTTCCTTTCTGCCATTCTGTTCTGTACTGCGAAATAGAATGTTATTATATCATGGATATAATAAGGCCCAAAATGGGGAAATTCAAATGGGGGACTAACTCTTTCTTCCAAGCTATACTATTATAGCTGCATCTCTACTCCCTGAAAATCAAAATCTGTTGGTATTTATAAGAAATTTTTCCCCAGAAGTAGACAAAAAAAATAGGATTTTAGTTTTCTCCGATTGGTCAAATATTTCACATGGTAATCTTAATTTCTAATCAATAGACACTTTGATTTAAACGGTGTGTGAGTTGTATTGTGGAATCTTTTTGGCATGTTTGTAATATTGTTTGTTATTGGGTAGAAAATAAAGTTTGAGTGTGTTTTAATAGGGTATGATGTGGGTATGTAATTGTGTTGGAAATGGGGTTTATTTCCTATAACTCCTGTAAGAAAAAATAAGAAAAAAATTCCCCTTTGTGATGAAGGGGAGATAACCCAGATTCCGCCCGCATCTTTTTTCAGACAAGGGACGTTACTCTAACCTCTCTGATTTCTAAATTGCTGATATTTAAATAAAATAAAATGAAGAGAAAAAAATTATATCCAGGTTAAAATTTAACATTTTTAAATATACATTTTTATTAAGTTCAAAAATATAAAAAATTAAAAATATAAAATAAAGCAAAAAATAGGAATAAATATAATGACTGTTCAGAAAGTATGCACCATTTATTATTAATAAAAAAAATTCTACCCTGGACAATGATACTTAAATACTCCAATTGTGACCTCATACTTATCACAATGTCCATTCTATTTTTCGAAACAGTCAGCAAAGTATTCATTTGGAATCACCATCACTTGTTCTGGCATGTTCTTTTTAATCTTGTATGTAGTAAATGCCAATTTTAGCTTTGGGAAAAAATACAAGTTGCAGGGACTGTAGGTTTAACAGAATTTCCTTGGTGATATGATGTTTGCAGTAAAACCCTATAAAAGAAGTGAAAAATTTTATTAATGTCATTACATTGCTGAATTAATAATCTATATTAGTGTCCCTGTTCATTTATACATAGTAATGTCCTCTCTTGCTGATTACATAATTACATAAAAGCTATGGATTTAGTTCTTAAAATATTCAAAGTATATGGCTATGTTTCAGACAGACCTCATATTCTATGAAGCAAAAATAAAGTAAAAAGAAATAAAAGTTCTAAACATCTTGAAATAGCAGGAATCTTAACATTATTAGCTTTAGGAAAGCTTCCATTGTGGTTACGATAGATAGATAGATAGATAGATAGATAGATAGATAGATAGATAGATAGATAGATAGATAGATAGATAGATAGATAGATAGATAGATAGATAGATAATTTTTTAGCATGACACTTAGTTGAATTTTAATTTAAAATTTTCAATGTAAAATGTTCAATACATGTGATGAATGGAAAAATATTTAGTAGGGTGCATTAACAAGGGAGGAGATTATGTTGAAAAATATTTTGTCAGAAGTTTTGAGATGAGGAATCATCATTATTATATGAATTCCCATTTGGACTAGCATACTCATTCACACTTAGGAGATATCCTATATCAGATTCTTTAAACTTAGTGGATTAAAGTATTGGTTAAAACATCTGGATCCCTGTCAATTGTTAGTTAAATCTCTAGGTCAAGTTGTGCTGAAAAGTCATATACCTTGGTTCAACTGAAAAGACAGACAAGTGACACAAAGGCAAATAAACATGAGTGAGTTAACTGATATCAGTTATCACCTCAACATGGAAAGCAGAATGAGAACAATCTGCTTGTGTGGATTGAATAAAGGGTTAGGTTAAAATATTCTGAAGAGCATACTGAGTATAACAGATTGTTGGGATCTGTCTACCCAGGTTTTTGCTTTATTGGGGTGTCAGGATTCAAAATATTTAACATCAACAACAACAAAACAATACATCTTTCAAATGACACATAAAAAAGGTTATTTTCTAAAAGTAAAATAGAAGCAAAATGTCAGTTGAAATAACACTTATATTTTCTTTTCAGAAATGTACAATAGCAATAAAATGTTCAATTTTCTTTGCAGTGAAGTTTGTTTTATCAAGTAATTAAGTGTTCGTAGTGCTTTGTAAAATGTGGACAGACTTTATAATGGTCATTCTAATGTTCTTGTGAGTCTGTAAGCAAAGGCTTAGTAAGCTGGTTAATCCCTTCTTTTGTGTGTGTGGACAAGGCCTTAGTTGACGGCTACTGGCTGTCTCTCTTCCATTGTGTGTGGGTGCATGTATGTGTATGCACATGTAGATGAAACTGGTCTCCATAATTGTTGTGAGCCTTAAGAAGAAGTATGCTTCTATTTTTATATCCATAAGGAGATTCAAAATCTAATTTTACATAGAAGTGTGAAATTTTTTAATACAAGGTATTCATTGGTTAAAAAATAATTTCCCGAGGACTTGTGAAAATCTTTTTCTCGAATTTGCAAGTGTGGTGAAAGGAATTATTATTGTTATTTTCTAAATGATCAAAAAATAACACTTGGTAGGTCTACAACTATGTCCACAAGTATTTTGATGGTATTTTCCTTTGCAATGATTATCAAATAAACCTTATGATGGGATTTTATTGACTGAAAAATATAAAGAGAGTTTAATTCCTATAAGATACTTGAAGAAGGCTGGAGAGTAAACTGGCTGAAGTGTGAATGTAATAGGCAAGATGAATATGCTGGTCTGAATAGAAAGGCATATTATAATAATAAATATTTGTTGCATAAAATAAATGAGTTTTTATCATTAGGCTATGGAGTTGCTGACTTACTTCTGTGTGTGTGTGTGTGTGCGCATGTGTGTAAGCAGTTATATATGTACATATGATATATGTTAGGGTCTCTGCTATGGGCAAATAGTGGACAAACAAAACAAAACAAAGTATAAAAATATATTTTTATATAAAAAATTAGCAACAATACCTATTTATAGTAAAATGTTCAGCAATACATTTTATAATAGAATTACCAACAATACATTTTATAGCAAAATGACCAACAATACATTTTATCTGTAGCTGAAGGCATATAATTGTATTCAAAATATTTAGATTTCAACTTTGAATAACCTAAACAGGTGTTGATATGCCGCTAAACAAAATCAATCAACTGTTAAGTGAAAGAGAAAAGGTGTTCTCAAAAGGGTCAAATAGAGAGTATAAAGAGTCTAGAGAAATAAAGTTTGGAAAAATCAAATGGTGTACATGAATGTGCCATGTGTGCTCTTGTATGTGCTTGCTATGAGTACTATTGTGTGTGCTCATGCATGTGCTTGTTGTGAGGACTGGTGTATGCTCATGTATATGCTTGCTGTGAGACCCCCATTTTTGTGCATTCTTATATAGGCTGTAAATAGGCTCCAAAAAAAAAAAAAAAAGCCAAAATTAATTTTTTTCTATTGGTTGAGAAAGGATACATGATTGCTACTACCTCCATGTGAAGCTTTTATATATATGTTTTTAGACTTGTTGAAATAATAGGTGTAAAGGGAATTTTGAAAATGTAATTTTATTTAATTATTTTTTTGTATTTTCAAAGTTCCAACAATATCTTTGTGAAAGACATGAATCCACTTCTCCCAATAAGTTAGAATTGGGATTTCTCCCTGCTGCTGGAAGCATGTAACTTAATTCAACTTTTTATTTGGAAAAAGTTAAACACAACCAAGTAACAACTGAACAAACAGACAGCTCCAAAATTTCTCCATTCACTTTTTTCCTGAGGAAAACATATCTTTACTCACCAGAAAAATATTATTCAATGTACAATTTGACCTTTATACAAGAAATGAACATGTATTTATTTTCAAGCTACTTCTTTCTAAAATATATGGAGTTATTATTATATTGCAAAATTTTCAGTTAAATAAATGATAATTGTTGAGAATTATATCTCAATTCCTAGTTGGAAATGAACTCCCATTAACAGAAGTAAGACTTGTAAAAACTATTTGGCAAACTTTAACTTTTGTGCTCATAAAAAAGGACATTTTTCCCTTGACACCGCTATTATTTTCTACTACCTTCACTTCCCACCAATGTTTATTTACAAGATTATAAAAGTATGTGAACCAAGTACAGTGCAATATTTATTATTTACCATTTTATAAAGAAATAAATGTGAAAAGAAATCTTTTTATTCAAAAATTTTAAACCATTTACAATGCAATATTTATTATTTTATCAATAACTATGAAAACAAGTTTTTTATTCTTAATTTTATAAAAATATCAATGAATTGCTGCATGAAAGAAATGCCCGGAAAATGCACTTTTTCAAAATTTATAATTACTGTTACTCATCGTTATCTGTTTCTTTAAATTTTCATGTTTGACAGGCATCTTTTTATAAATTTATAAATAAAAATTTATTTTATATATTTATTTCTTTATAAATTGATAAATGATAAACATTGCATAGTATTAGTTCATTCGCATTTTTAGAATGTTGTAAATATAAAATTATTCTTGTAAATAAACAATCTAATAAAAAAATAGTGTTTAATATTTCTCAAAGAACAAAGAAAATGTATAAATTCACTTTCATATGTTTAGATTTTATTAAAATTATAATCACCACTTTTTAAAACAACAAAAATTGCTGAGTGAGTGAAGGTAGTTAAAGTAATAGCAGTGTCAGGGGAAAAACTGTCATTTTGGCATATAGCTTTATTGTAGGCACGTGCTTATTGCTATTTTAAAGTTTATGGGTTTCAGAATAGTGTAGTTTGCTTTACTCAGCAGGAAGAAAACTGGAGAGTGTCCCTCGGTATAAATATAGAAAATCCTGTATTCCATGGCTTGCTAAGAATGATATTGCTTGTAGAGCATATGTTGATCCAAGCCAGTCAGTATATTACCCACGATTTTTTTGTTTACCAATTATTTCTGTAAGAAAGAAGTCTTTCCTTTGTAGGGTAACCCCACATGGCTTTGACAGGTTTACCAAGACACTGTTAGTTGGCTCTTTTAAAAAGCTATAAAAATGGGATATTTCCTGATTTCATTCTCTTTTCTTTCTTTTCCTGTTACTGCTAGCATGTGGTAGAAGCAACAACAGCATGGAACCTGCCCCCAGTGTATAATGACTGAACTCAGAGAGACAAACACACATGTATCTCACACACATACAGACACACATATGATTCCTAATTTTTAAATTGTGTCTTCTGTTGTGAGGTGTGAACATTTTTCAGTAAATATCTAATAGCTCCTAATACATTTGTCCTGCAAACAATATTTATCAGACTCATGTGAGTCCAGGCAAAAATAAGTAAAAAAAAAAAAAAGGATTTTAAACAGACTAGCCATTAAAAAAATGATTGGATTAAGTCAAATATTCATCCAGAGACACCAGTATGCCAAACCCTGTCAAATGACTTTGAGATATCTAAAGTCACAACCTAAGACTTGCTGTTCTTATCTTAAAAAATCTAGTAATAATTGTTAACACATTGATGGTTGACTTACAGAGACAAAAGCTCATAGTTTATCTGAAAGAAGGAGCTGTGAAGTAAGAGGCTTAACCATGTAGGTGTTGATTAGAACCTCTAGTATTTTACCACAAAGAGGTAAAAGACTAATAGGAGGATGATTCGAGAGATCAGAAGGTTCATCAGTGTTCTTAAAAACAGTAACTACAAAAGAGGATTTCCAACAAGCTGGAAAATAAGAAGTGACAAGGCATTTGTTGTAAAGTTTGGAGACAACATGAGGTTTGTTAAAAAAGTCATAAAAAACATCAGGTAATTCCATTGAAAGTGAAAATAAAATTTTTCTTAACAGTAGTTTGTAATGAACTGAACATGGGTGCAATATACTGTTGTAATAGCTCATCTTACAGACAGGAAATTGTGGCATGCTATGATGATTGCTCACATCCTGAAATGACATGCATATAAAAGAAGACCTCTTCTTAAGTTGTTTTTTTAACACATCTTTGTCCAGAACTTCATAATACGTTCTCTCTATAATCGCGAAAGTACTACTGATGCTATGAAATTGTTTTTAAAATAAATAAAGTTTCACAATATGCCACATTAAGTATTGATTAAAGTTTGCCTTACACTTCGAGTGATTATTCATGGGAAATAAAGCATTCACGCTTTAAGTTTTGATAATTTTTTTCCATAGGAGTGATCTCCCTTAGCTCTTGTTGACGGTCAATACATTTACTGCTCGTTGCAGATTAAAGATGGCGGCGCCCTGTGAAGACGACGACGTGGTTGATAACAACATTATAGACTATTTCAACAGGGAATTTGGCGATGACCTCAAATCGCTACGGAAAGTAGAAGAAATTTACAATGAACTCAGTGCGCTCAAGGAGGATTTAGAACAAAAGGTAATTTTTTTATTATTATTTTGATAGCTTTAATTTCGTTTTCTTCCTAATATTGGTTCATTGAAATTTTATACACACCGATTTATTTGTGTGTACCTTTTATTGCCTGCTACCGCGATATATAAAATTAGTTCTATAAGGAGAAAATAGACTGGTGAGTTAATGTTAGAATTGAATAATGAATGTTTTTTAAACTGAAGTTAGAAAACAGTTGTGACTGACGTTATTACTCGTCCTTCCAATTCAGTGCACGTTAAATTGTAATTTAGCCTCCTAACGGCTTTTCTTGTGTGACACTGGGTCAATTACAGAAAAATAAGCAAATATATAAAATATAATAAAATGTGAAAACATCCCAAAGGTAATTGTCGAGCGCACATCATCAACATTATTACTACTACTACATCTCAAGTGAGAAAGCAACACGCCAATAAAGTGAGTCTGGGGACCGGGTACAAATAGACGAATCGCAATATACCCATTAGTCTCTCATAAAATAAAAAGTGAGTTTATATAGGCGCCTGTATTAGAATCGAATGTGTGCGCTATGTTGACAAATTTTCATAAAAGTAACGTGGGTGGGTGGAGGTCAGTTCGAAATACCTTAAGGTCGAGTAATCCAGAAGTTCTGCGGCTGGGCATGTTCGCAAGTATATGACTCCCAAGTCGACTTGGCTGCTTCATCCTTTAACTTAACACCCCTCTCGACACTCCTGCTCATGAGTAAATGTTAAAGATGCACACTGCGTCAACTCTTAAGGACATGCCCCACTGAGATGTTTAGTGTAAAAAAAAAAAAAAAAAATCTTAATTCACCAAAACAAAACATGTACATAAACATCTCCAATTAATTATTAACGTCAGAAGCTATATGATGAATTTTTTATTTATTAATGATGATGAAAAAAAAAGTTGGGAAAACAGTTTTTTGTAAAGAAATTGTATGAAGAAAAATCCAACCAGCAATAAAACCTAAAAAAAAGTGTTGACTGTTGAGTGTTGATATTACAAACAAATGAATAAATAACAATAAATTAGATTTGGTAGTTTTTTTAATAAAAAAACTGACCGAATTTCCTCACTACAGCAACCATGGTAATTTGGGACGCTAAAGTGAACGATCATCTGCATGCAATTGTTTTAGCACCGAAGTGTTTTGGGTACAAATACTGAATTACCTCTCTTAGATTTCTTTACCGTACCTCATATTCTGTGCATTTTTTTTTTCATATTATTTTAAATTTAATTCAATTCCCCTGACAAAAGGATTGTTGAGAGTATAATCGTTTTTTTTAGCATTTCAAATGATTTTTACATACCAAACACTTATTTATCTCCCTTACATCAGATGTTATTTGGTCGGGACTCATATTGTGAGTTCTCCTTTTGAAAGAAATGACTTTTCCAGAAAAGACATTCATTTGAAATAAGACGAAAAATGACGTTTGAAATTTAATCTAATAACTTTAAATTATTTTTCCTTAAGTAAAAAATGAATCGTTAATTCAACATTTGTGACAATTTAAAAAAAATGTAAAAACTCCGATTGCTGCGTCAAACAAAAAAACAGCCCAAAATGTGAAGAAAAGAGAATTGGTGTTTGGCATTTTAAAACTGTTTCAACAAACGCTCAAATTGTCAATAAGCAGCATTGTAAAACGAAAATAGGTAAAGCATAAAAAAAGTTTAATGAGCATGTCTTTGGTACTATAAAAATTCAAGGATGGGACTGAAAAAATTACTTCAGAGCTGGAACAAATATATTGTAAACTCTTCCATGATGAAAGGAGGCAAGTCGCAATACACAGAAATATTAAAATTTGATATGGAATTGGCACTGGTCAAATTGAACAGAAACAAAGCAGCGGGATCAGACAGAATTGTAATAAAGATGCTGTTATGATATAATAAATGAAACAGTGGTGATATACCGGAACACCTAACTAGATTCATTTTCATAGCACTGCCTAAGAAGCCAGGTGCAAACGAATGTGAACTTCACCAGACATTTGGCCTAATAAAATTAAACCGGAAATAGGACAAGAACAGTGCGTGTTTGTTAAAGACACTGGAAGAAGGAATGTGATATTTATGCTCTGAATGATATCAGAAATAGCAAGACAAATGCAGAAGGATGTGTACCTGTTTTATAGATTATACAAAAGCATTTGATAAAGTATGCCACAAAGAACTGTTAGAATTGCTCGGTAACCTTGACATATTTGGGAATAATCCAGAATCTATACTGCTAACAAACTGCCAGTATACAAATAGAAAATAAATTCAGTAAATCTACAAGAATAGAAAAGGGTGTAAAACAAGAATGTCTTCTCACTAAACTTATTCCGCCTATACAGTGAAGCGATTCTGAGAGAATTAAAAGTCCTACAAGGATTCATTATTGGCAGCCAAAATCTTAACAACATAAGATATGCAGGTAACTTCTAAAAACTAAGCAAAGTATTAAGAGACAGAAAATTTTTGTTAGAAAGAAACAAAGAAAAGATTACTGAACTGTTATGATATCAGTCCTGTTATATGGCAGTGAATGCTGGGGAATCTCCTCACAGATGAAAAAGAGACTTGAAGCAACAGAAATGTAGGTCTACAGAAGGATGCTGGGAATACCATGGACCAAATATGTGAACACCAGCAAAGTTTTAGGGAAAATGGAAACAAAATGGACACTTATACTTAACATTTGAAAGAGACAGTTGAAATTTCTAGGGTGCATAATTTAAGAGAGAGGGCTTGAAAAATCTGATATTCACAGGACAGATTGAAGGCAAGAGGGGCAAAGGAAAACAATGCATAACCTACCTAGCAAGCTTGAGTAAATCAAATGGATGGCAGAACAAGGTTTAGGAGAGATAACAAAAAGACAAAATTTATTTAGAGCTACAAAGGACAAGAAATCATCGTAGAGCCATGATTGCCTATATCCTGAAGCATATAGAATGTATATGTTTGTCCTTTAATTAAAAATGTGTATATAGGTTTGTCCTTTAATAACAAAAAAAATAGACCTAAACAATAAATATTTAAGAAAATAAAAAAAAATATACTCTTAAATGTTGTTTTTTTAATGAAACTTTTAATAATGAAAATCTGTTATCTAAATAAATGTATGTATGTATGTATGTATGTGTGTATGTATGTATGTATGTATGTGTATATATATATATATATATATACACATACATAGATGCACAGTAAGTTAAAAATGTTAACATTTCTATGAGAGTACTTCTATTAGAAAAACAGAACTGATGTTCTATTTCAAACTGTTTCTACCCTATTGGGTAGCATTTAGGCTAGGCATTTAATTTATTGTTGAACTTGTTCAACAATAATTCTTCTGTTGCCACTTAATTTAAAGACAATTTGATGTATGTAGGTCCTTACTTTCCATACAAACAATTATTTTTATTTCATGGGTGACTTTAGCTGGATTTCGCAATTAGTTTTGATTATTCCCAAATTTATTTCCATTATAAAAATTCTTATCATATAAAAAATTTGTAGCAAAAAATCACGTAAAAAATTTTTAAAAACAATTGTAGTAATGAAAACTTGGGAATCCAAAATTTCAGGATTGCGAGTCTAGATCTGGCCTGGAGTGTTTTTAATTTGCTCACAGAGTTGATTCCAAAATGGTATGATATGTTGGGCTCTGGCCTTTAGGAGTAAAGTTGAAAAATTGTGACACTCGCACTTATTATATAGAAGCACTCTAACAGAAGTGTTAATATTTTCTGAATTATCCTCTGTGTGTATATACACACTGTTGGCCAAAAGTTACATATCTTGTTTCAATATTAACTCCTTCATATTTTCGTTTTAAATTTAAAATACCCTGGCATCCTGTACAGTATCTATAAGAAAATGAAAAAAAAATAATTAAAAATTAATTAAATTTTAAAAATCTGTTAAAATTTACAACTAAAGAGCCTTGCTTATTGTGAAGTCCTTTATGCCAAGTGATAAAGCAACCAGATTGAACAGTTGATTCCCCAACAAAGAGGGGATGCAGGTTTGATCCCTACTGGAAGAAACCTATTTCTTGAATGTGCATGTCAATAGACATATTACACACTGTTTAATAAACAAATAAGATGGGGTGTCTATTCAAGTAAGAAGTGTCCACTATAATATTGTTTGAAGTAATAAAAATTTTGTATTTAAAATAAATCCATTAATTCTTTAGAATAAATAAATAAATGTGTATGTATGTATGTATATATATATATATATATATATATATATAGATATAGATATAGTGTGGGTGTTACATAATGCCTTTATATATATATATATAATGTGTGTATTCTTGTGCTATTTTTCAGCTGTCACTTGCCAGCACTGAGGTTCCTAATGAAATCAAGAAAGCAATAAACAATGCTGAGTCTGTTCAGGAACGTGTACAATCCTTCTGTACTGAAGAGGAATGTCTAAAAGAAGAGATTGCAAAACATACAGAAGCTATGAAGCCTCTCATTGAAGAGCTTTCACAAATTACTAACCAGGTGGATGAACTTAGTCGATATACAAGATACTTTGGATTGATAGCCAAAATAGATGAACTCAGGTACGTAATCAAAGCTTTTGTTTTTATTAAACATTTCACCCAAAGCAAGGCAATAAAGCCACTAAGGTGCAAGAGGGTTAGTGAATGTTAGAGAATGAGAAAAATAAAAGGACAAGAATTAAGACAAGATAACAATTGATATTTCATTTAAACTTTTGAAGATCAAAGTTGATTGGGAAGCAAGAAGCCAGAAGAGTTCCTTAGCGAGAATTGTGAGAAAAGACACTATTAGCATAGAACTTACAGTTACATCTAGCCATTACAACTGTAAAATGATGAGACCTTGCTGCCAATATAGTAATGCGCTTAAATTCATTCAGAACAATTACCATAAAAGTATTTATAGAAAAGGCACAGGGAAACTGACTGAAGTCAAGATGCTAGATAAAAACCACTAACATTGCAGATTTTTTTTAGACTTTATCAAGAATCTGTAAATATATAACAGAAGTACCAGACTAGATGTGGCAGCAATATTCAAAGCAAGGACGAATGGTAGACTTATAAAGATGTATGATTTTATTATTCATTTCTCTTGGAATGTGAACACTTATCAGAGGAATTGGAAAAGTTTCTAGAAGCACCAATTTTCTGAGATTGTGAATCAATAATTAGCAATTAAACCAATCCTTTTATTTACTTACATAACAATCTGAATATTTATTCTTAAAGAAGGAATGTTGAATTAAAATTCTACATCATAAATAATTATGCACTTCAAGTTGCAGTGCTGCATTTACATATAGGCTGCAGGCTCAGTGCCCCAAAACTAGAGGGGGGCCCTGATATAACCCAACTTCCCCATTCACGATAATGGACGGACTGGTTGCCGATAAAGTACGACCACAGCGGACAGTAAAAAAGGTCTTCGTTTGTTAAACACTATTGAGGTTAGCTTACTCCTGACTCTGTCTCTGTATTTTGACATACCTACATCCGATTATAAAATTATTATTGAAAAAACCAACACTCGGGTTTACTTTGTTTATTATATCTTGCACGAGATATAACAGCTGGCGACGACGAAGGATTGTGCAACGTAAAAAAAATGAAAAAAAAAAAAATATATATATATATATATATTACGCTGAACGGATTTCGAAGCAGATTCACAAGTCAAAGATATCTGTTGACGCCGATTAGGATTTGGAAAACGGAGTCACAAGTCAAAAGGAAACTTTTTGAAAAGTAAGAAAATTTTTACTGTTAAATTGTGATTTGAAAAATATATATTGAACCGCGACTCAAATGCGAGCCGGTCTAATAATTGATTATTCAAGTAAAAATTACGGGTTGTAAAAATATTACGGCTGTAAATTGTCTGTTAACTGTCTAAAAAAAAAAAAAAAAAATTTTTTTTTTTTTGCCGAATTCTAAATAAAGTCAGGATGGAGCAATTAGTCGAAATGACTAAAATGCTGTGTACAAGCTTGCAACAGCAACAACAACAACAGCATCAAGAGTTACAACAACAACAAAAACAGCACCAAGACTTACAACAACAAATATTGCAACAGCAAAAAAGTCTCGAAAAAATTCTGAAACAGGCGACTGGAGAAAGAAAAAATACTGTTTTTTTTTCTGCCGAAGGAATAACAAATTCATTATCCGAATTTATTTATGATCCTGATTCGGGCATTACATTTCCAGCATACTTTAAACGTTTCGAAACTATATTTACCAAGAGATGTCAACATTGGTCGGATGAGGAACGAGTAACATTATTAGTCCAGAAACTAGGGACAAACGAGAATAGGAAGTACTCAAACTTGATATTGCCCAGAAAGCCAGAAGAAGTTTCGTTTGAAGAAACTATAAGTATTCTGTCAAAAATATTTGACGAAAGGAATAGTCTGTTCCACACGCGATACAGATGCCTAAACATCGTTAAAGCAGATAACGAGGATTTTGTGACATACGCGGGAACAGTGAACTCTCTGGTTGAACAATTCAAGTTAGAAGAAATAACCAAAGATGTATTCAAGTGCCTAATTTTTCTTCAAGGACTAACTGATCCTAAATATAAAGAAATTAGGTCGAGAATATTAATAATGGTCGAGCAAGACTCGAAAATAACATTACAAAGGGTGACCGAAGAATGCCAACGTCTCATAAACGTAAAAAGGGATAATATACAAATTGAGGAAAAATGTGTTGCTAATGTTCGACACGTAAAAACTCAAAAAACTCCAAAAGCTAAAAAGATAGAAAAAAGATGTGTGTGGAAAAAATAACCATACCAAAGACACGTGTTGGTACAAAAATAAATTCTGCCAATCGTGTGGAAAAAAAAAAAAAAAAAAAAATCATACCAAAGACGTGTGTTGGTACAAAAATAAATTCTGTCAATCGTGCGGAAATAAGGGGCATAAATATTCGGTTTGCCACAAGAAAAGGAAATTACAAGATGTAAGCCTGGTATTATCAGAAAAAGAAATTCAGAAAGGTAAAAATAGAAAGTACGTAGATGTACGTATAAATAATCATACAATTACTTTCCTATTGGATTCTGGTTCAGACATAAGCATCATTGATGAACAAACATGGAAAAATATTGGAAGACCTAAATTATCTGAAAAAAAAAAAAAAAACCGCTAGAGGGGTTTCAGGAAAGAAATTAAACTTTAAGGGAGAATTAAAGTGCGATATTTCGTTATGTGGCAAGACTGCAAAAACGAAAGTGTATGTAATCCAAGGGATTAATTCATGTCTTTTTGGAATAGACTGGATAGTACTTTTGATTTGTTTGAACTCCCGATTAACTCATTTTGCAACGTAATAAACAGTGCAGAAAAACAAAAAAGTATTAAAAATGAAAAATTCATGAATGAATTAAAAGAAGAATATCCAGTTTTTTTTTTTTCTGAGGGATTGGGTTTATGTACTAAGACGGAAGTCAAATTTGAACTCAAGGAAAATGTGAAACCAATTTTTAAACCTAAGAGAAACGTTCCTTTTTCCTCCTTAGACACAATTAATAAGGAATTGGAAAGACTTGAAAAAATGGGAGTGATATCTAAGGTTGACCATTCGGATTGGGCCTCGCCCACAGTTTATGTTAAGAAGAAAAACGGAAAAATAAGAGTGTGCGCAGATTTTTCAACAGGGTTAAATGATTGCCTTAAAAATCACAGTTATCCACTACCTTCACCAGAAGATATTTTTTCAAAATTGAATGGTGGGAAGATTTTTTTCAAAAATCGACCTGTCTGACGCATACTTGCAGATTAAAGTGAGTGACGAATGCTCAAAATATTTGTGTATAAATACACATAAAGGTATTTATAAGCTAAATAGGCTTCCTTTCGGCTTAAAGGTCGCCCCAGCTTTGTTTCAACAGGTGATGGACACTATGCTGGCAGGCCTTGAGTTTGGTACCGCCTATTTAGATGACATTCTAGTCAAAAGTAAGAATGTTCAAGAACATAAAACGCACATCAGAGCGATATTCAAAAGACTAGAAGATTTTGGTTTTAAATTAAGCCACGAGAAGTGTAAATTCTTCATGGAAAGAATTACATACCTCGGACAGGTAATAGACAGTGAAGGCAGGAAACCGGACCCACAGAGAGCCGATGCAATTAAGAACATGCCTGCACCCGACACAGTTCTTGAAACTACAATCGTTTCTGGGGTTGGCACAATATTATGCAATCTACATACCTAAAATGTATGATTTAAGAGCCCCCCTTAACGAATTGTTAAAAAAAGACAAGAAATGGTTTTGGTCAAAAGATTGCGAGACGGCTTTTCAGAAAATAAAAAATGCCTACTCTCAGATCTCGCCTTAGCACATTATGATCCTGAGAAAGAGATCATTCTGGCAACTGACGCAAGTTTGTACGGAGTGGGTGCTGCACTGCTACACAAATATGAAGATGGCACTACTAAACCGATCGCGCACGCGTCGAGGACTCTTCTTCCGGCTGAAAAAAATTACAGTCAGATCGAGAAAGAGGCTTTGTCGATTGTGTTCGGGGTTAAAAAATAGCATCGTTTTTTACATGGTAGATCATTTGTACTTCAAACGGACCATAAACCGTTACTTAAATATTTGGAGGTAAAAAAAAGGCATTCCTACGCATACAGCTAATCGCTTACGGCGATGGGGTGTAACCCTGCTTAATTACCATTTTAGGATGGAATACGTCAAATCTAAAGAACATGGGCATGCGGATGGATTGTCAAGGCTGATTCCAAAAAATGAAGAAAAGTTAGAAGAGACGGTTATAGCAGCATTAACTGAGAAAAAAGAAATATCAGGTCTCTTGTTGAATACAATCAGGGAATTGCCGGTAACTTTGGACCAAAATAAAAAAGAAGCGGAAAAAGATCACTATATTGTGAAATTAAGGAACCAGACGAGATGGAAAAAAAGACAGAAAAAGGGAACTCAGATTTCACTTTTTTTTCAATTTGCGACAACACGTTGATGTACGCAGATAGAATTGTTATACCTCAATCTCTACGTACAGATGCTGAAAGAATTTCATACCGGTCATCCTGGAATGTCTCGGATGAAATCACTCATGCGTGGTTACGTATACTGGCCAGGAATGGACAAGGATATTGAAGGTTTTGTAAGACTATGTAGAGGTTGTCAATTGGCTGCAAGGGCACCTCCGGTCAAAATGAATCCTTGGCCGAAAACGGATTTGCCGTGGGCACGTCTACATATAGACTATGCTGGACCAATTAATGGGTACTATTATTTGATATTGGTGGACTCTTTATCGAAATGGCCTGAGGTAGTCAAGTGCAAGCATCCTACATCTAGGAACACCATCAGTGCATTGGATGAAATTTTCAGTCGTTTCGGGGTTCCCAGGACATTGGTTAGCGACAATGGTACGGCGTTCACAAGTATGGAGTTTAAGGATTTCTGTACTGCCTTAGACATTGAACACATAACTACACCAGTGTGTCATCCCAGGTCGAACGGTCAAGCCGAGAAATTTGTTGACACTTTTAAAGTGCTTTACGTAAAAATAAAGGTATGG